TGGCAAACCTTATTACTCAGGATCATTTCTGTCCCCTACTCTGCTTTCCCCCGCATCACCAATTAGATAAAACTGAAGGAAACTACTCACAAGGTTGTTGAAAACTCTCTGACAGCCCACGACCGCTTTCGCCCTTCTTAGGACTCATCAGGTAGGCGCAGTCCCCGATTTTCGGTCAACCTTATGATCTACTTGAACCCAAATTCGAGGAAATACACTATTTGCAAATCAGTTTGGTTTTCAGCAATCTGTGAATAGTTTCCTTTATGAAAATATGCGCTGATATCTTGAATATCGTGCCAACTGAATCATGAGGCGGCCTGTGTGCAGCATATTCAGTTGGAGGACATCATAAATGAGAGATTCAATTAAGTCTCCCGTGAAAACCAAATTGATTTGCAAATGGGTGTATTTCTAGTTAAAACTGCCTTTACTAATTATCCACGCATGGACATTTCAACCGTCCAATCTTTCTTCTGTTTGTTGTTTTGTCGAACCCATAATTTTTCCGCCGAAGCAGTCACTTCTCTCTTCCCGGAAACTTGCTGTTTAAATTAAATTTTGGCAGAGTTTGATGGCACTATCATGAATTAATTGGGCATTTTCGAGAGGATTAATATATGCCCTCAGGAATGTGTAAGACACCAATGGTTTCCACCTCTTTATCGACGAAATATTGCGTTCTGTTGATCCCCAAGAAAATAATCTACTGATACTTCTCTATTCATTCATCAGTTTTATCGGTTACCTTATCCGATGCGCTGCTACTACCCCATGTCCACAAACCATGGGCAAGGGGACCTTGGCAGTTATAATCGCTGAACGCCAACTTCGCGTTTTTTACAGCTAATGATGATGATGATGTTGATGATGATGGTGACGATGATGAACTCAAATCCAAATCAATGCATGATTTAGAAAAGACAGGAATGTTTTATTTTTGATGGCGAATTTTTAACCTCTTCTCATCATACTTTTGCGCCTTATGCTAAATAAGTAGACCTCGCGTGACAAAGATCAGCTTGTTGCTCTCGTAGTTCGGAAAGGGAGACAAGGAACACACTTGACCAAACTTCTCATTCAGTAAATTGACTGGGCTGGCTAAGGAACCAAGTCAATTGGTTTTGGAAACTCATGTAGGTCACAAGGAAACATGGAAAACTGGCTGCTGATCAGGTGGCAGCCGATTTGTTCACCGGACTTGGCAATTGGTTTGCAAACGTTTTGTCACCATGTGAGAGGATATCGTCAAGTGGTGCACTAACTGAGTTTGGTGAATGTATCACTCCGTCAGCAATCAAGAAGGCAGGTCCAGCGAGTGATTAGATAGTTTTCAATGAAAAGCTTATAAGCACTGATGAATTGGCTAATTGGTACTCACTTTTTCAGTGGCCTCATTTTGCAATCGGTTTCGCGTTGTGGTGTGTATTCCTCTTATTCCATATACTTTCTCGAAGATCTTAGTCTCCATTCTGATTGGTCCGCTCTCTGTTTGTGTTGCTTTGTGGAATGTCTTGCTTGAAGCTAATTAGGTAGTTTGGTGTTTTCACTTTAATTAGCTTGCCTTATTTGATTTTCTCTGCAAACTTTCTTAGCTGGTGTTGTTGCGTGATGAGCTACGTCATAAGCACCAAGTATTCACCTTCACTAAGTGATATCGAGTTCTCCTGCGCGACCACGTTTGTAGCTGAAACGTTTGCAGTTTCGGCGAACTGATCAAGGACTACTTGGTAAGCCACGAGCGAACGCATCCGAGCTGTCAACACTTTTCTCCACTAAACCAAGCACAAGTTGATTTACGGTACAATCTCCTATCAAAACCCAATTCGTTGGATCTTGCAAGACGGTACAAAAAGCTGGGCGAACGGTTTGCGCTTTTAGCTTCGCAGGTAAATTTTGCATTTTTAAAAGATGTTCAGAAGGTATAAAAGTGTAAAAGTTCACACGGAATGTCCGATTTAACGACATGGAAGTCTCATTCATGTAACGTCAACAATTACGTGATGACTCTGGGGACTGGTTGAGAATCTGCTAACCTAGGTATCCGATAAAATGATTCGCCACGGCTGGTGCGATTTAGGGACCTACAGCTTGATCTCTCCACGCACTATTTTGGTAAGTGACAATCTATAGTAAGTGGCTAAATATAAGTCATTTTGCAACAGATAGTGCAAAAATGTTAGATGATAACTACACTGATGGAACAGTGCACTGAATTTTAGACTCATTACATTTTCGTAAGGTTTTCCGTCTAAGCTTGTGGAAAAATCAAAAGGATCTTTATCATTGTTTTCTATGTTCTTCCGGATAGGCTGTAAAATTTGATTCAAAATGTTTGCGAGTTCATATGTCGGTGCGGTTATATAATCCACGACTGGCCGTAAACATCCCCATACCCCTTCACTCTTTGGGTTCAAGACAAATTAGACGGCCTGACTGAGATTTTAGTCGACGGTTCGTATGTAGTTGCCGGCTTGTTAGCCGGATCTGTTGAAAAAAGTTTTAGATTTACCCTGTGCTATGGGTTCATATAGCTTGCAGTTGATATGTTCAGGATATGTTCCCTTAAGACTGATGGTGATGTGAGTTGTAAACGCATTTCTTTTCTCTGTACAACCTTCTGCGAGATTTAGATTAGATGCACTCAATCACAAGTGCTTTAAATTGCTGGTAATTTCTAATCTAGCTTTATTTTTATCATCAGAAGTGGGTTTTCCAAGAGACGGTTCCACTGTTTAAAACAACAGACCGTGATCGAAAGGGATTTTACTGAACTTCAAAATTTAGTCCTTTCTGAAACACCCGGATTCTGGGTTCACGTAAGTCCTCCGAGAATAAGTTGGTGGTGATATTGACTAGTGAAGCCGAAGTGGGCCAGATATTCCCAAAGACCTTTTATTGGTTTGTGGTGAACACTAATCTCAATGAAGGCAGGAGACCGAAAAAAGGCTCTCATCGGTGTTTTTGTCCGAAGGATTTAACAAGAAATCTTGTCTAACACAGGCCGCAACAGTTGTAACAGTTTCTACCCCTGATGAATCTCCCTTCTTTCATCTATTAGAAGGTTAGCATGAAAATTATAAATGATAAACTTGTATATATATATAATATGTATATTGTATACATAATACATATAATTATATAATTATATAATATATTATATATTATATATAATATATATAATATATGCATTTATATAGTTACATATATAATTATATAATTATATAAATTTTCGGTGCCCGTCTGTTATTGTTTACTATTCGAAGAACGATGTATAAGCTTAAGAGGATGAATAAGAACGTTAGCTGTCTAAAGGCTCTCTTTAGATGCGACCTCCGCATTCATTTCCAGTAGCGAATAACCGCTTAGTCCGTGTTAACCAGTAAATGATTCTACACCAAAATATGTTGGCTCACTCACTGTGGTTCCACAGGAGTCGATCCCTCCCGAGAGGATATGTTCTGAAGAGGTTGTTTGAGGCCGGCAGAAATAAATCTTCAGGTATACTTCTGGAGCAGCAGAAGACTTCTTCCGTTCTTATGAGTTTGGACACTGTCGGAATATTGGAAGATCGGGTAGCTGTTGATCTGTTTTCCAAGCTTGGAAGTGGACTTGCGGACGTTTCGTCACCACATGAGCAGATGTCAGCAGTGAGCAGCTTAATAGCTACTTCCTCTTTCTTCGTGTGCGTTTATATAGCACTTGAAGATTGTCCACTAACTCTTTACGTAAATGGCTAGTTGGGACAGCGTTTGCCATGAATTTGTTGGTTCGTTTGTGACCTTTGTTGCGTCGTGGTTTGCGTCCCTTTTAGTCAATTGGTGATCCCAATGCATTTACTTCTCTAGCTTTGATTGGCAATGCGTTGTGGTCTGACCTCCTCAAGGTCGATTGGTTGATTACACTGCCCTACTTTCTCCATCGTAACGGCTGGTGCCTCCATCTCCACGAGTCGATTTGGTACTTTGGTTTACACACTGGGCACCTTATCCAATCAGATTACTGTGTTCTCTTTAATCAGGCTTTCGTGCTTCTTTCACGAGTCTCTCGTCTGGTTACCTGTGCAGTTCATACCTCTGTGGTTCTGGCGTTAACCTGCTCAAAGTGGTTGGCAAATAAGTCCAATTTCGATGTGCTTTTGGTAGTTTCTTCGGTGGAGTAACACGCTTCCATAAATTCACGTTCTTTCTTCGTTCTTGCCCGAGTCCTTGTGCGAACGCCGCTCTAGCCGAACTTGCGTCTTTCTTGACTTTGTGCACGGAATTTGTAGAGCCACTTTATTTGGCTTGTCAGACATATTTGGACCATCAAGTAAACAATGAATTATTCGCGAAACCTAATGTGCGGTGAAAAAATCTCAAAATTTCACCAAAAAAAATTAACCTTTCTAACCAAAACGAAGCTATATTTCCCTATATTTTAACCACGAATGCAAAAACGCGAGAATAGCCAGAAGGATTTTCTGAGGTAGTTGTTTCATTTGCTCGTTATGCCTGGTTGTGACTGTCTCTAGATCGAAATTCCACGTCACCAGGCTTTGGAGTATATTTGGTCGCCCTTCAGTGAGCAGGAAAACGGCTTGTTACGTCGGCTTCATTTTGACTGAGGTTGGTGGGACAAAAGGGCAACTTTTGTGCGTCTTTTTTGTCCACCGTCATTTACGTGACACGCCCTGGGTGATACCAATTCCCTCCTCTGTGTCCATAAGCCAATGGAAGCCTCTAGTGGTACTGTAAAGTGAGGTTTCCACCACTGGGCTAGTAGCATGATCACAGATAATCAAAAAAATAAATTTATGCAAGAACCACAGTTGGTAGATTACTTGTGAGAGTTAATCCGGATTGTTTATCTACACAAGGAACACTGGACGTTGAACATGTTGTTCACTACGTGCGCAACAGACACTGAACTTACCTGCCGGATCTTTTGAAGTTGAACCACAGTTCGTAAAGAAAACCCAAGAAATCTTTTATCAGCTTTGGAGCTAAATTCTTTTTGACAAGAAATTCATGCGTGTGTTTTATCACTGCCGTCTCTGAAATGGCGTGGAGGAAGGCCCAGATTTCTTGCATTTGTTCGTAAGTAGTATATTCAGTGTGCCCTGCATTTGCATTGTAATTGTCCAACAGGTGAATGAACGCTGTGTAATGAGAAAAATGGAAGAACGTTATATGAATTAATGCATCGAAACGATATGTTCTCTTACAAGCAAATAACTGAGGAGGATACCTAGAGAACCATTTTGGTGGAGGGGATGTTATCGTTGAAAGGGCATCAATTAGTGTATACTCTCGAGCTAATGGGCTGTGGCCAGAAGGTTTCTGGTCTGTCTTCATTTTCAAACAAAAATTCGAGTGCTCTGGGAAATATTTCACTTCACTAATGAGGGAAGCGCCACTGTTTCTTTATGAGATATATTCTGGTTGAGGGTACCAGCAAACGGAAGAACGCCTTTCGGTGTTATTTGTTGACCA